TCACATATAAGGAGAGCGACCGCCAGACAAGGACAACGGTGACATCTGCTGGCTTTTTTGAGGAGCTGCCTTCATAAATCGATGCCGCACAGAGAAATCACAGGGTACCATTTGGGGTAAATAAACAAATAAACACTCGTCATGCACGTGAAAGTGACAGGGACATCAAACTAATATAGTTAAATTGCACATACAGTCAAGTTGATGCATATTTAAGGGAAACACAGATTACATTCAGTCAGGGTTTCCATTTGGATCAATAAATAAAATGTACATAAGCATGGCTCACTGAACTGGATAAACACAAAACAAAACCAGATTACACCGTGAACAAGCACCGTTATCTACCCAGTGCAGAAGTGTTGATTTAGAGTGGCTAATCCTTTGATACATACAGTTCAAATGATTACCCACTTGACTGCAAACACATGTATTATTGACAAGACCTTCAGAGAGTTAGAGTCTGTATGAATATGACTCAAGCTGGTCTCACACTACAGGAGTTCTCAAATCCTCACAGATTTTGCAATCGGTCTGCACCACACACATAAGGAGAAACCTCACAGATATTCTTCTCTCTAATCTCAGACATGCACACACTCTGAGACAATATTAAGATAATAGTGCCAGAGGGAGCAATCACAGCAGATTGGCCTAATAATACTTTACAGTAAGGGAAAAATGGACACTGACTAATATTGCAGTTGGTTTATATTACTGGCAGATATTGGCCTGTCACAGATATATCATGTTGGCAAACATGTTGTCAGAAATGCACTGATATCAAAACTTTCTTTCAAAAAATATAATATAGAAAAATACACTTCAGGTTGCTTAGAATTCCATTTCTAAGGATGCTTAGAAATGAAAAAGAATGGATTGCCACCAGCAGATAGTGGTGCAGAGTCAAGCTTTGTCTTCATAAGTATAACACTGTAAAGACAATAAAAAATAACCAAGTCATTTTGCCTTTTTAAGACAACTCTAACATACTATATGTATATCCACCGACATATCGATGTCAGACCTTTTTAGTCTCTCTTCAAAAATCTAGTCTTGGTCAAAATCTAGAAAAAACAAAAGCACAAGTCCGGATGAGAAAATGGTTGGTATGATTCTGTCAACCTGAGCTGGAGTAGATTTAAGTGTGGTAGCATCATCATTGTAACCATCCAGATTTTAATTCGTAACTATCCAGCATGTTTGGTATTATCTGGATGGCCCCAATGAGTCTACAAGCAGTTTGGAAGGCTGGATCTGCAAACCCCTCACATGCCAAATAATCTGGGCTGAACATCTACGACCAAGGTCCAGGAAGAAAGTTCTGTGATTGTCGAGAGGGGAGAAACAGGTTATCCGACCCAAAACTCCTGTAATGTGAGACTTTTGGTAGGTAGGTTTTAAGTGTATTACCCTCTTGGCAGCTTCCTTGATAGTAGCACAAATAATTAGAGTTCCACTCTATTACATACAATGAGAGCTAAGCAGCATTTCAGAGTTTACTGTAAACTTCTATTGGGAAGGACTTAAGCCTTGATTATACTGTTAGGCACATGGAAACTTGCAGACACCACGGATGTGTATGTCACAGTCCAAATTAAAATCCAGGCGGATTTTAAATCTGCCTGGGCAGAGCTAAAGTTTTGTTTCATCTAGACCAAATTGAAATCATCCTTATAACAAATTAAGATTGTAAGCCTGCCTAGGTAGGCTTAAAATTTGGCCACACCTCATTAAAAAGAAACAGCACTCGTCTATGTATGAGATAGCTGATTGTTGGATCAATAAACAATTCAATTCAATTCAATTAAAAAGAATGATAAGATTGATTTCACCTAGACTAAATTAAACTCAAACATACTTATGTAGTATTTGTACCAGTCTAGTGTGACTGTTACACATGACAAAAGATGTATCACACCTCTTCATTTGTATTTGAATGAAGATGTTGGTGTGACCCTTTGATGGTTACAGCATTAAAGAATTTGAGGCTCACACACATGGTGAAGTGTGGAGATTATAGATTTAACATTTGCCCAGGCAGGATTACAATCTCATTTATGATATTAGAAGGATTTTAATTTGGTCTAGGCAACATCAAAATTTTACTTCTGCCCAGTCAGATTTAAAATCTACCCAGACCAAATCCAAATTGGAATTTGGACTGTGACATTTATTTGTTGTTAATATACTACTTTCTAGTTTGCTTCAAGGACACGTTCCATAAACACACAGTAGACAGGCCTCTACACATTCTGCACATGCACACTTCTGCCAAACATGCACACTCCGGCCCTTGTAGTGTACCTGCTGTTCACAAATTTCTAACTACATGTGGATGTCCACAGAGGTGCCTGCACAGACTCTTGTGATGATAAAATGTACAGCACTCAGAAACCAATAGACCTTCAACAGATATTCATATATATACTGGCCTTAGAGTTACGATTACAGTCGGGTTAAGTATCAGGTTGCTGTTCAGTTCTGTGTGACCATGCTCTATGTAAGTACAAAGGTTGTTTAAGTCATAAATTCAGAACAGGACATTCTAATTACGCAGCCATCATCTCCAATAAATATGACACATATGATTTAATCTACACAGTAATCTACCCAGCAGTGAAGGTGCATAAGGATAACACAAAGGCACTACTTGCTTTATTTCCAGTTTTACTGGAGGTCAAAGTTCAGTCTTCATTCTTTTGGTCAATATCAATTTCAGCATCATGTGTTATAGTAGTAGAAGAGCAGGCTTTACCCAGCTGGTAGTGATCCTTCAGGGGCTCATTTACTTGCCCGTTTGGCATTTCTCTCATTTTCTGTCCATTTTTTCTATCAAACTCAGCAGTAATCTGAGCCAGCGTCTTGCCCTTTGTCTCTGGCATGGTGAGCCCAAAAAACACAGCAGATCCCACACACACGGCCAGGAAAGGCAGGAAGCAGAAGTTCCCCAGGCCTTTGACGATGAAGGGGAACAACATTCCAACCAAGAACAGGCTGATCCACATACATGAGCCCGCGACCATGTACGCCGCTGGCCGAGCTGCCTGGTCAAAGATCTCAGCCGGTAAGATCCCCGTCACCCCTGCAGGGCCCAAGCCGAAGCTGAGGATGTAGGCGAACACACATGCCATGCTAAGGTATGCCATCCCTGCAACGCTATGGCTCTGCAGAGTAAGAGCTACAGTGAAGACTACACTCCAGCAACTCATAAGACTGTACCCCCCGACGAGAAGGTACCTTCTGCCCACGCGCTCAATCAGGAGATTGCTCAGAATAGAAGCTGTTAGCTCAGATGCGCCCGTGCCGATGGCGAAGTACTGAATTTTCTCCGGTGGGATTCCTGCTTCCAGAAAGATGTAAGAAGCATAGAAGTAGATGGAATCGTTCCCACACAGCATCATGGCGCTACTAGCAACCATGACTGTCCTAAGTTGGGATCGTAGGCTGCTGTCCTTAAATAGGGACCAGGGTGTTTTGGCAGAAGCTGTAGATCCAGACTGTAAGGCAGCTGACATTTGCTGCTCCTGCTCCTGAAGCATCTCCTCCATCTCCAGGGCAGGAGCCTCCCCTCCACGGAGTCTCCCGAGCGCCTGGACACATCCTTCCCTGTCTCCCTTGTCAATGAGAAGGTATCTGGGGCTCTCAGGGAACCAGGGCAGGGTAACCAGCTGGATCAACCCTGGCAAAGCGTTACTGGCAAGTAAGTAGGGCCAAAGAGGCTCTGCACCCAGCACCTCAGTGATTCCCACAACCTGACCCAAGAAGATGCCAAACGCAGTGAAAACAGCAGATGAAAAAGCTACAGCACCTCTGAGATGTTTGGGGGCACTTTCCCCAAAGTACATGGGCTGGACGTTCATACTGACACCTGAGTTAATCCCCACCAGAAAGCGAGCGAGGATGATCATCTCGAAAGCTCTGGCCAACCTGGATGTCAGCACCAGCACAGCACCAATAAACAGGAAGGAGTTGTTTAGAAGTAGTGACTTCTTTCTACCAAAGCGGACCGCCATAGGCCCCGCTAACAGGGCCCCCAGCAAACCGCCCAGTGAGAACGCTGACACGACAAAAGTCCACACTAGTGTCACCTGAGGGGTGTCCAAGCCTTTACCCCAGCGCTCCACGTAGGTGTCATTGATGAATCTCTGGATGTAGCTGGTGGGAGAGTTGATGATGGAGATGTTGTAACCATACTGGAAGGTTCCTCCGATGGCAGCAGAGCACACGGTCAAGGCAAGAGTCCTGGCACTGCCGGAGGGTTTCCTGGTTTCTTCTGGCTCACTATCTCCCGTGGAGCTCATCTGAAAGCTGGTTGTCACAGGTGGAAATGTGTGTACCTTTACCTCTGAGTCCCACAGCCCTCAATTCACCCTGAGCCCTGAAGTTAGCTTGAAGTAGTTTAGCTCTCTTGATAAACGAAATAAGACATACAGAAACTACCTTTGGTCTTTGGTCAGGGAACGTTGTCCTTGTGAAGCAGCTTGATAGGAAGGGGAACCAATTCAATGGTTGAAGCCGGGAGTAGGTGGTGCTATTATTCCCTAACAATGAACTGTCAGGCAACTGTGTGCTGCTCACAATTCACAGGTTTATTATTAACTACGCTTTATTGACTTAAATGTTAGCTTAACAATATTGCTAAAAACATCAAAAATAGCATAATGAATAAAAAAAGGGGGGAAAAGAACATTTATAAGATGAAATAAAAAATTAAATACGATTTAACAGTCCCTCACAGTCATGTGCATACGTTTTGTTGCATTGAACCTCAAGCCAAAGTCGAGTTTAAACAGTAACATGTAGCATATAACATATAAGATAGTGTTTATAATAAGCACCTGAGCAGACATAACCAGCGATACATAACCGGTTTAATTACAAACTATTGCTCTGACAGCCTGAGCTGAGGGAGTAAAACTCCCATCTCAGTCACATGTCTGTCCCGGTGTGTCTATCGACCTGTGATTGGTTTACACCGAGCCGAAACCTACGTCATCTCCCTGCGACTATTGCTGTCGCGAGTAGGCGTAAAGCAGAGATGTGAGTAAACGATTCCATTTCGTTTTTTTCTTACTTATGCACGTCCAATAAACGGCAACATACCGCACCAGAGTCGTGGATATTTTGGTTTTAAACGTGCATTACCACTTCATAAATTGTCATTATTAGCTGTCGAGCTACCATGTTCAAATATTTGTCGAGCTAGCAAGCTGCTTATTTATCACACCTGTCATAGATATACCACAGCGAGTCAATGAGCATGTGTCAGTTTTGCCGATAATTTACTATCAGGTGAATTGCTTGAAGAAAATCTATCGTTGTGTAGTTCAGTGCACAGGCACATTTCTGGGACATGGCATTAGTAAAATTCTTGCCTGTCTGTTGGTGAGCTGACTGTAACACAAGCAAGTTAGATATAATCTAATAATTCTAGGCAGATAAAACTGCTCAACCACAATTTGATGGACTGTAATTGAAGGATCAGTTCCATAAAGTGAGACTATCAAACAAGCAAGGCTTATCTCAGTTAGAATGACTGACCTGCATGGTATTTCTCTTTAATAAAGCTGACTCAACATAGGACAGGCTCATTTGCTCTGCTGGGAAACTAACGTGGTCCAGATCGGGCCACTGTCAGGCTAAATCTGAGTTGATCGTACTGCAGACTCTCAGTATCAGTCCAAAAATTACTTAAATTACACATTAATAATTAAAGAGATGCACATGCATTGTATGGTATATGATATCATATTTTTAGACTTATGCAACTTAGAATACGTCTCAAATCTGAATTACCCCAAAAACATTATCATTGGCACATAAATAGTAAACTGTACAACTGCAAAATTTAGGCTATAATGACCTGAAATGCAGTATCTAAAATCATATGCCTCTATTTTCTTTATATGAAACCATGCTTAGAGATGTACTGCTGATGAATACATTTTAAACAATGTCAAAAAAGTAAACCTAGATGTGGTTAGTTAGTGAATGGTTTGTTCATGAATGTGAAAAGGTCTGAAGAATCCCTCAACCCTTTGGCAATCATAGTGTATTTAATCAGTTTGCAAACTGTGCTGTACTGTTGAGAGTTATGTTTAGAACCAAGAGATACAACACTTAAAAAGCACTGGATTTAGGTTTTATTTATCCCTGGTAATAAGAATATCACTAACGAGGAAACGGTTGAATAGTAGTTGCTTCAGCCGGCTGTGCATTGTAAAAATTTGTTAAATAAAAAGAACACTTCGTTTTATGATACTACGCCGCCATGCTTTAATAGTAAATACAAGAAAAGCAAGCATGCAGGTGTCTTCAAGTGAAATAGTCACAAACAGCCCTCATACATGAATCATATATCAATAACAGGTTAATTTGATATATGATCAACAATGACACAGATACAGAAAAAGTTGCACATTTTCTCTCTGTGGAGGAATCTGATTTATGCTCGACCTCTCTGGCTGTTTCAGAATAGTGCACACATGCAATTACTTGCAATGACTTTCTAAACCTGTATTGAATTAGCCTGTTTGCGGGACTTGAACTGATCTTTATGGAAACATTTTGGCCCTCATTGATTTGTTAAGTTCATTCAAGTCAGGTATTGGACTTTACCCCCTACTTGTCTTCAGACGCTTTATTGAGCAGGCTCCTTGTTGCATGATTATGTACAGTAATGGTACTTTTAAAAAAAAAAAATTAAAAAAAGGTGAACAATCTGACATTGTTTGTATGGCTGTAAGTTTTTCAAAGGGGCCCATATGTTTTGCATAAGTATTGCCATGTAACGATACCTACACTTGTTAACAGTCAGCATAGTCAGCAAAGTTTTGATGTTTCTGTAAGCAAACACATATTGTATTTTTGCATACTCAACATGTGTCTGATATCACATCTACTAAGTGATATCAGGTGTCTTAATTTGTGTTATTTTCTCTCATAGGGCGCCTTCTCCAACAAAGAGGAAGGAGGATGACAAAAGTAAACAGCGTGGTAAGGAGAAGTCAGAAACCAAAAAAGAGGGAACTGACAAAGACCGGGGCCGAGAGAAGAACCGAACCCGTCGCAGTGCTTCCAGTGGGAGCAGCAGGTCAGAGGCTGTTCTTACAGAGTAAATCTGAAGGCTGCCAGGTTACATTCTACTCATAATCTGGCTAATTTATCATTTCAAAAGATCTGTTCATGCAGACCTGGCAGCAGACAGGAAGAGGGAGGGGGCGGGGGAGGTAGAAGACATTTCTTGTAATTGCACTAAGTGTCTCATTTGTGGTATCTCCAATCTAACCCCGCTCTCCCCCTTTTGTTTTGAACTCATTTAACTTTGATTAAATTTTTGAATTAAGCCCGTCCATCACCGCTCAGTCATCAGATCCATCCCATGTTAAAGTCTAATATGTCGTTAAGGTCCAGCTCGAGCTCCAGCAGCAGCTCAGGTTCCAGCTCCGGATCCTCCAGCGGCTCCAGCTCTTCAGCGTCCAGCCACTCGGGCTCCTCCAGCTCCCGCTCCTCTTCCTCCTCCTCGTCATCGTCCTCGCCGAGCCCCAGCCGCCAACGCCACAACAACAGACGGCGCTCACGCTCAAAGTATGAAACTAGTGACTAGGAAGTAGATAACTACTTAAATGTGGTAATGAATCAAACAAGTGCTGAACATGAACTCTTTAGTGGCTCAACTGTCCAACCCTCACACTTGATTCTGGTCTTGTAGCGCTGGTGTAAAAAGGAACTTAGACTTTAATTTAATTCAAAGTGAGAGCATTTTATTGATAAACAAAATATTAAATGAAAGTGAAACATCTCTGTAGATCAAAATCAGCAAAGAAGGACGACAGAGATCGACGGCGTAGGAGCCCCACACCCAAACCTACCAAGGTCTACCTGGGCCGGCTCACCAGAAACGTCATCAAGGTAAACTCATCACCAGAAGTGCTTTAAAAGATCAGAGTTGTTACGAATTCACTTTATTGGTTTACACTACTTGTGTGGTTAAATCTTGCTTGAATAGCAGAAAAACAGTTTGGAGTATTTGGGTCTTTCTTTAGTCTAAAATCTTCCTTAATATTTCCTAAACAACACTGGGGGGAGGAAATGTAGTAACCAGATTAAGGTTGTTTTTACACAGGACTTACATCACCTGCAGTAACCTCACTGCTGCATCATCTTGCAGGATGTGAATAAGTGACTCACAATGTGGATAGAACCCACAGGAAGCAATTAGTGGCACAGTGTCATAAAAAAAAGAAAATAAAGAGACTCCTTGCTTAAACACAATGTAGTGATTACAGGTTCAGTTGTCTTGTGTGTGCATGAATGTAATTAAAACATGAAGAGAAAACAGATGCAAGTGTTTGCATAAAAAAGCTGCTGTATAATCCCATCACTTATGTAATACCTTCATGCCTCTTATCTGGTTACGATGAAATTATTAGAGCATTTACGATCATTCCAGTCATCCTAAGCAGACGAGTTTTTAATGCCTCCAGAGAGTGTGATTCTATTTGGCAAGTGTAGCAAAGTTAATAGGTTTTCAGATGGTAGGAATTTGAAGTTTGGCTCGTACCGGCAGCAGAAAAACAGATCAAAAAAGGGTGAGCAAAGAGTAAGTCTAGACACTGGCAGGGAATCAGAAGAGGCAGGTGATCAGGTTGGAATAAGATACTATCTGGCAGGAAATGAATGAAACTTGGCCGACCGTGGAGCTAATGAGGGATACAGGTTAGAATGGGGGAGTGGGGATCAGGTGACTAGGAACGAATGGAAGGAGAGTTAGGAAATGTCAAAAACAGGCAGACATGAAAGAATTGCGTGTAGAATTAGCAAAACTGTGATAGAAACCTACAGACTACTTTTCTCTGTTCTGCTCTTGAAGGAACACATCCAGGAGATCTTCTCCACCTACGGCAAGATCAAGATGATCGACATGCCCATGAACCGCATCCACCCTCATCTGTCCAAGGGCTACGCTTACGTAGAGTTTGAAACCCCCGAGGAGGCGGAGAAGGCCCTGAAACACATGGATGGAGGTAGGAGGAGGTGGAGGGACGAGAACGTGAAAGACTGGAATGAAGAGATCACTTACTCATGTACAGTCGTCCTCAAATGTATTCATACCCTCCCATTAAAGAAGGAAAAAACAGGTGTCTCTGAAATATGTTGAAATTGAGAAAAGTAATAATAATTTAATGAAAATCATGACATTGGTTTTGAATTGTAGTTCAACAGAAATATGAAAAAATAAAAATAAACAAGTATGATGGACCCTTAAACTAATATTTTGTTGAGCAACCCTTTGAGCCAATCACTGCAATCAAGTGTTTTCTGTAACTCTCAATCAGACTTAGAGCGGCTCTTACGCTGATGTCTTTCAGGTCAGATTGACGGACAGGAAATCACAGTTACTGCCGTGCTGACTCCCACGGTGCGCCCCCCACCTCGCAGGCTGTCCCCTCCCCGCAGAATGCCTCCCCCGCCCCCGATGTGGCGGCGGACTCCCCCACGAATGAGGAGAAGGTAATCAGCACGAGAGCAAGGAGCAGTGGTTCATGTAGGGAAACAACAGACAGCTGATGCTTTCTTTGACAACATTCTTTGTGCCTTTGTCCTGCTCCACCTTGCCTTCTCTCTCCTCAGGTCTCGGTCTCCTCGGCGACGCTCTCCAGTGCGGCGCAGGTCTCGATCGCCCGGCCGCCGCCGTCACCGGTCGCGCTCCAGTTCCAACTCCTCCCGCTAGAGATCTGGAAACTCCCCGTCTTCCCCTCTCCATCTGCTCCTCTGTTTTGTCTTTTTTTTTTTTTTTTTTCAGTGGGACAAAACAAACAGGAAAGAAAATTCTGTGCTGTTACCTCATTCAGTGATGAGAACACAAATACTGGAAATATTACTCACCCAGTAAATAATTTTGGCCAGTGTGGGCATGAAAACAATGTGAATCTTATCTCTCAGTCACCGGATCTCAAAAGATTTTGAAGCAACAGGTTAGACAGCGTTCTCCACCACCGTCATCAAAACAAAAAATGAAGGAGTATCTCTGTCTCTGAATCAATGCCAAGGTGCACTGAAGCTGTTCTGGCACTTAATGTTGGTTTCACCTTTAATTTATCACCTCTCTGTATATATAAAATCGTAAAACCAACACTAAAATATGTTTTATTTCTAAATAAATTAAAAGACAAGATATTTTCCAGACAGCCATTGTTTCCAGTGTAGCTTAATTTTCTAATGAACACTATAACAGTAAACTCCATCACTGTTGCTGACCCCTGCTGTAGGAAGTGAAAGTGGTTCCTCTGGAGACACGACTGTTTTGCAGATAAATAGAGATTTCTCACTCTGCACTAAGTATCTGCCGAGAATAAGTATGACTTCAGGAAAGTTTTAGCTGAAACAGCAAATTATCAGTGAGGATTTTAGCGAGTAGGTGTAGCCCAATGAATAGACTTCTGAGGACACTGATGTCAGTATTTAGGAATATATAGCACCGAATACACACACGATCCTTTCGTTTTTTCCCCCTTTTTTACTAAGAAAGGACATTTTACTGTGAAAATAAACCTGTTACACGCGCAGTTTTTAGTGAGCTACTATTGGCCTGCTCGACTTATCGCTCTACCTCCTGCTTTGGTGTTATTTTGTGGATTGTGCACACTATTTGACTTAAATCTACTACTGTGTCTAATACTG